ACCGGGAACTGCGTGGAGGCAGAGGTTTCTATAGCCTTGCGTCTTCAACCTGTTGATGGCAAAACAGGGTTCTGTGCTTTGCAGAGTGAGTAACCACGGTCTGTGCCTGCCGTGAAGTGCCGACCGGCAGCGCTAGCGTTTAGCGCAGACTTGCGACCTGGTGCTTGGCTACGATCCCGGCTGGAAACAAGTCCTTTTGTTAATGACTACGGCGTTCTCGCGCCAGCTGCTTGGTGTTTGGGTGTTATTGCTTCTTTGGATGCCAGAAGGCATGCCTGAGATGTGCAAGCATTCTCTATCATCAGGCGAGCGAAAATGAGCATGCCGTCAGCAAGGCTACACAAGCGGTGACACCAACAATGAAGGGGATATTGTTGGGCGAGCGTGCCTGATCCCACAAGCTTTCCTGCAGGCGCAGTGTAATCAGGATGTGTAGTCGCGCAGCTGCTAACCGTCAACTGTGCTGATACACCGGGGCCCAAGCTCCATATCAGCCGGGAACACTTGTAGCTGCCTTTCGATGGCCCGCCCGGCCCACCCAGGGTGTTATTGCTTCTTTGGATGCCAGAAGGCATGCCTGAGATGTGCAAGCATTCTCTATCATCAGGCGAGCGAAAATGAGCATGCCGTCAGCAAGGCTACACAAGCGGTGACACCAACAATTAGGGTTTAGGGTTTGGTCGGGTTTAGGATTGGCATAGGGTTTAGGGTTTGGTGGGGTCTAGGATTGGCAGGGTTTTTAAGGGCGAGGTGCGAGGCTTGGGTAATTGGATTGTAGACCATGCGCTTGTCTCCTCATACTACATTGACAATCAGACATAAGGACTCTCTTTGTGAAGACTTGTGGAGTAAAGAGTAGAGTTTCATGATCGGACGACGAGCCCCCAGAAAGCCGGAACACCGAAAATGATACAAGACTTCCACCTGCATGGGCAGGCCTGGCAGTACGCATGGACCAAAGACAGTCCAGTCCTTTTGAAGGCCTCGGCGGGGGCCTTGCTTGGGCCAGCTTGCGTGTGGGTTTTTGTTGTTTTATTGGGTGGGGGGGTCGCACCCTAAACCCTAAACCCTAAACCCTAAACCCTAAACCCTAAACCCTAAACCCTAAACCCTAAACCCTAGACCCTAAACCCTAAACCCTAAACCCTAAACCCTAAACCCTAAACCCTAAACCCTAAACCCTAATAAATAATAAACCCTAAACCCTAAGCCGTAAACCGTAAACCCTAAACCCTAAACCCTAAACCCTAAACCCTAAACCCTAAACCCTAAACCCTAAACCCTAAACCTATACCCTAAGCCCCAAGCCCTAAACCCTAAACCCTAAACCCTAAACCCTAAACTGCCGAGTCCATATGCATGGGCGCTCGAGGCTTCGACCGAGGTCCCCGACCGAGCGTTTCCACAGAACGGTGAGGGAGGGTAAAGCGCGATTTGCCCCAAAAAACTGACCCACCCTGCGGAATTACTTAGGACCCCCTGAAACCCCCTCAAACCCTGGCACCCGCCTGAAACCCCGTCCATTGCACCGGTCTAGGACTCCAGCGTCACACGCGCATAGACCTGTCCAGGAACCCCCTGTCCTTCTGCTGGGACCCCTCCACGGGACCGGGCCCCCCGCATGACGATCCAGGATTTGCCCAGACCTGTTATGAAGGGCACCCACCCCTCCATTTTAGTCCGTGAAAGCTCCAAGAAGCCTACGAGCCCACCCTGCTCTTTCTCTGTAAACAGCAAGAAAGCCCTCCTTGAGAAGGGTTTGGGGGGTGAATCCTAAACCCTGAACGAGAATAGTTTGGGTGGTTGGGGTGGGAAAACATGCCAACGCAAGCGAGCGGCCTGGGTGCTTTTAGCACCAGCGAGCTTCCCTTCTATACACCTTAAACCCTAAACCCGAAACCCTAAGCCCTAACCCTAAACCCTAAACCCTAAACCCTAAACCCTAAATCCTAAACCCTAAACCCTAGAGCTGGCCCAGGAAGCCCTATGCCTCGATGCACAACGCTCACCTGTGCGGCAGGAAGCTGTCACTGAACTACAAGCATCGCTGCGGCTGGCGAAGTGAGAGCTCACGCTGCTATCTTCACCCTTCGCCGACAAAAATGCCTCAAGTTTGCAGGAGCAGCAATGCTTCTTTGCCTATCAGACACATCCAGAGCATTCCTCATGCCCTGTTAAGAAACCATATACCACAATGGTTATTGCGATTGTGTACTCCAAATATGACCATTGTTTCTGGGAAGGTCAGCCTAGGACAGAGCATCCACGAGCTAAGTGTTCATATGTTCATCGCAGATGGAGCCAGCTGCAGTTTTGAAGATTTCCTTCTGGGTCCGAGTTCCGAGGTGTCGCAGTTCCACACCCTTGTGCAGGGGTTTCAGAACCAAACTCGAAACAGTCACCGAATCAGTCTCACCAACAGCTCATCCACGTCAACCTGCACCGCAAGCTCCAGGAGAACAACGTCGCGGGCCGCAGTGAGTAGATCAGATTGACCGGCGCCACGCAAGGTGACACAGCCTCAAAGCAGCAGCTCCGGCAGGAGCAGCACAGGCAGTAGGGGAAAACAAAGAACCAGGCCAAGAAGAAGGGAGCGGGCCGAAACCAAAAGGGAGAGAAGAAAGAAACCAGGCAAACAAGGAGGAAACCAGACAGGAACCAAAGGCAACGAGGCACGCACCAGTAGGTGCCAGCTCCAGCAGGAGCGCGCAAGGACTTCGGAACCCAGAAAGGATCCAAAAGGCAATGAGCTCCGGCTGAAGGCAGGCAAAGGTTCGGGGCCTAAACCCACAAGGGGGGAGGGGAACCACCTAAAGCCCCTAAACCCTACGAGGCCCAGGGCCTCAGGGCTTAGGGAACCCGAAACCCCAAGGCGCCCGAAGCCCGGGCCGAAGGCCCAACAAACCTCGGGGGCGGTCCGCCCGCGCAGGGCCTCGAAGCGCGCGGCTTTGTGGTGGAGAGGCCTGAGATCGAGGAATTGAAGACATTGACGTGAAGCTTTCTCTTGCTAGCTTGTCTTTCATGGTTATTCTTACTGTGCATATCCTAGCTAACATCAACTACTTTCTCCTCACTAAGGTCAACTATTTTCGATGGTTTCTTTTTCTGGCAAGATTGTGATTATTGGCAAGAGTTGCTTGTCTTTTGTTTTCACCATTTCCCCAAATTGCTGCGTTTGGGCTCCTCCAGACAAGAGGAACGTGGCTCTAGTTTGGATTTGTGGAGCATGGCTCCGGAGCTGGGGTTCAGGGTTTAGGGTTTAGGGTTTAGGGTTTGGATGGTTTGTGCCTCCCAAATCTTTTTGTCCTTGCTGCCTGGGGTCTTCGCCGGTACTTCTTGTTGCTCTTGTTATTGTTATGTTTGTGGTTTTAGGTGTAGGGTCTCTGGGTTTCCATCGGTCATCATCACCTTCTCAGGATTTTCATAGCGATCTTTTCTCTTGGTAGTTGACGGCAGCTCTCCCGAAGAGAGTCTTTGTGGAGGCCAGCTAAGCCCTAAACCCTAAACCCTAAACCCTAAACCCTAAACCCTAAACCCTAAACCCTAAACCCTAAACCCTAACCCTAAACCCTAAACCCTAAACCCTAAACCCTAAACCCTAAACCCTAAACCCTAAACCCCCTAAACCCTAAACCCTAAACCCTAAACCCTAAACCCTAAACCCTAAACCCTAAACCCTAAACCCTAAACCCTAAACCCTAAACCCTAAACCCTAAACCCTAAACCCTAAACCCTAAACCCTAAACCCACCTCAAGTTTTATCATCCCTCAGCTTCCCAACTGCGTGGCACGGCGTGCAGGCTGAACACCTACACAACGCAGCCCATTCTGAAGCAGAGCGCTGAAAGCTTGGTGGGCGGCCTCGGGAAGGGGGAAGTGGGGGGACCCTACGAAGCCCTTTTTGAGGGTTTCCTTGGGCTGGCCCTTCCTGGTCTTGAGGCTTCGCCTGCCAGTTTAGCCCGCCTTGGGTTCCCGCAAGAGGCCCCTGAGAAACCTCAGGGGCCCTGAACTGTTCGATGCTGGGGGCCTTGCAAGGCAGCAGCCTTGTTTCTGGTGTCAGTTCGGTTCCTCTTGTTCGGGAAGAGTTATCGCAGGTTCGGTCATGTGTGGAGGGAAGAACAACTCTGCCCTGATGCCTGGTTTGCTCCCAGGCAAAGCTCAGTACGCACATGTTGACAGGTTTCCCTGGATTCCTGGGACAAGAGCAGCAGCGACCTGCAAGGTGAAGAACGGAAGACAGCCTCAAAGTGTATCTTGACAGTACTGACCCAATGAGACCAAAGATTGGCCGCCCTTGCCGCTCGGAGCGATGGGCCTGCTGAAGCGCAGCGTCGAAGGGTTTAGGCAGGGTCGTAACCTTGTACAGCTCCGATGCTCGAGAGGATCTGAGGGAGATCTTGCACTGTCGCGATCGTGCTCCCATCCGCTCCCATCACGGTTTCGGTGGGCAGTAGTCATGCCTACGTTGGCATGTGCAGAGCCGTGCTTACATGACATCATTTTCTCACCGTGCTCTCTCGGCTTTACGTGACCGATCTCCGCTCCACACGTGTGTGTACATTCTGTGACGTGCACGCAGCAAGATCCCCTAAGCAGTTGCTTGCGCTGTGGAATTCTAGCGTGCTTTGTGGCTAAAGGGTTTGGAAAGCTGGCTTCTTGCGGCGCGCGCACACCCTAAACCCCAAGCCTTAAGCCATCTCCTGCTGTTGGGAGGTATGCGCCCTGCCTTGTTTGCTGATTAGCAGTCAGAGATTGCAGTGTCAGCAGGCTGTGCAAGCCTTCGGTGCACTTGTTGTTTTTGCTCGTGTGCTTGTTGCCATGTGAGCTTGGGTAAGATGCTCGCGGGCTTGTTGTCAAGTCTTGTTCACATGCTTGCATACCGTTAGAAACAAAGATATATAATATCAATGTATCTATCTTCTATCCATCCCTTTATGTATTTATCCATCTATCTATCTGTCGATCTAATTATCTATCTATCTGTCTCCCTATCTCTCTCTATGCATATACATAATCAGTATCAGCAAATCTCTCAATACACCTCCCCGCATGCGTACCAACGGCTTCGTCTGAGTTACAAGGATGGCGCATGTGCTGGCAGGAATGTGGCTGAAGCCTCCAAGACTGATCCCCTACTCCGGGTGGCGAATTGGCTGGTGTTGATCTTCCCGTTTTACAATGCAGCAGGACGGAATGTGCGACAGAAAGGAAAGGAACCGGCTGGATGGATTTCGACCACTGCGAACATGTTCCTAGGCCCTCCACCCACTTCAGGGTTTAGCTGGTTTGGGGTTTTTACGTCATTGTGGGGTTCGAAAAAGACATCTCGCACAACTGACCCACTCTTCCCGAAGGAGCTCTCTGCGATGTCCACTACAGCCGATATCTTGAGTCGAGAAAGACGCTTCAGCTAGTTGTCGGCCAACAGGTGCGGGGATGTACTTCTGCATCGTTGGCTTGGATAGAGAGCTGGTGCGAGATCTTTTGGACTTATCCTAACAATGCCAAACCCTACAACCCCAACAGCCCGAAACATGCCCCGGCAGTCACAACCCGTCTCCCGCGCCCAGTCCCAAATCCCAGGAAGAGGCTCGCTCTGGCAAACTCCTGCGGTGCACAGCTGCAGCTCAGGGCACCCTGGTCCGCAACAAAAACCGTGTGAGAGATGCTTTCGGCTCTCCATGGACCCTTAATGGCCTTAACGGTCTTCCGATTCTCCCGTCGCAGGGGGGCCCCCTGATTCCGAGGTCAGCAAGGAAGAGGCCGAGAAGGACGAGTGGCAGATCGAGCTGCTGAAAGCCCTCGCAGCGGAGTTGAAGGCCTCCTAAACCCTCGTTTTTCTCTGGGGGGGGGTCGAAGAGCCCAACAGTTCTATGTTTCGTAGTTCCCTGGCCCTGAAATCTCCCTTCAAAAACCTGCGCTGTTGGGGTTTCTTTGTCTCCAGAAACTTGGAGACTGGATGTCATCTTTTCGGGCTTTGGCCCCCGGATCCCCTCGAAACGCCTGGCAGGTGCCGGAGACGCGCTTGACGCTGCAGGGTCTTAGCGAGGTACCGGCGGCGGGGGGTCTTCGGGGGCACTTGGAGGTTGATGGGCTCGGGGGTGTTTATGCTTAAGGCTTAGGGACGTTTGGGGGTTGCTTGGTCGGCTGAATTGTGAGACCCTGTGCAGGCTCGTGGGAAGACTTTCTTGCGGGTGGTGCTGACCAGGCTCCAGCTGCCTGTACGGAGAGGGTCCCGTGCTGAACCCTATTAGTGCAAGCGCCTCATGCAACACTCGAACCCTTGAGTTTCATGACTGCATTAGGGTTGAAAACTGGGCGTCCCGAGCCACCTGAAAGGCTCCCCAGGAACCCCCAGAAGTCCGAAACGACGAGACCCGTCAGGCCCGAGTCCGAGGCGGCAGCGGCACCCGCCTCGGCAGTTCTCGCAAGGCTGCGCGGGGGAGCTTCGGGACCTCTGGCGGCCCCACGACTCGCATGTTTTGGATCTTGCAGGGTTTTTGCAGGGTTTTGGGTTGAGGTTTTGGTATTCGGGTTTCGGGGTCTTTCGGGATCTCGGCAAAGAGGCGACTTGCGATAAGTCATCAGCCCCCAAGCTTCCGCTCCAAAATGCCGGGAAAGCATTGTGGCACTGCAGGCAGGCCTGATTAAAGCAGTGATTCTAGGGGCTCCTCTGGTAGTTTTTGGCAAGCAGATTCAGAAGACAGGTGGCTTTTGCAACCAGCAAAGAGGGTTTTTTGTGATGGCTCGATGGAGAAGGGAAGTTGCTACTGACTTGTGCATGGCTCGGCCCTCCAGCAGTGTCAGTGAATCCTAAGGCCATTGAGGCTGTCATTGTGGATGGGGTGCAAAGGGAGCAGCAGAAGACTTACGGGCTGTGGCTGAGCCCAACTGGGAATGCCGCGCAAGCTCTCGAGAAGGTCGCTGGGGGTGTAGCACCACTTCTCATGACTTAGACGAGCAGAGCCATGATCTGGCTGAATGCTCTGTTGTTCTCTCTTCAGAACCAGGTTGCTTGCTGAGTTTTGTGCAGGCAGTTGCGGACTTGAGCTCCAAGCATGGTGGGCCCTCCTTCAAGCCTCACCTGACACTGCTGGGACCCGTCACGGGCTCGGAGCAGGACAGCATATTACCATATATTACCTCCCGCACTCCCCCCCTCCCACCCTTCCCGAACGGTCATCCAAACGTCGGGAAGGCCTGTAGGAGGGTGGGGTGAGACACGACGTCTAGTGGCTCGCACCTGCAATGCCTCGTTGCTTGGGACTGTTTGGAGTCATCAGGGCAGACGTTTGAAACTGGGATGACTGCTTTTGCCACGTGCCATCAAGAAAAGAAGCTGGAAGGATGTCACCGACTTTGCCAAGAAGTTTGCAGTCCAGACGGCCCCGATCCCTATCCAAGTCGAGGGCCTGGGCCTGGGGTCCTCTTTCTTCCGGAGCATCTACCTGGAGGTTCATGGTACTTCTTAACCAATGATAACTGTACTTATAACCCACTGCCCCTTAGGTGCCCTAGTATGGTTGTAAGTTATAAGTACAGTTATGCATACAGTTATATTTGGTTACTAAGTGCCATGAACCTCCAAGTTCCTTGAGGTCAAAGGCTCATCGGATCTTCTGGCAGCTCGTTCGCTGGCGGCCTCCTTGGTGCCCAAGTCATGGCTGCCGGTCTTCCTCGGGGGCAAGTCCTGCCATCTTGATGCTCAGACGGAGAAGGTCGGGTTCCATCCGCACATCTCCCTGGCTTACCTGCAAGGCACGCCGAAGGCGCGTGAGGAGCTTGCCGAGGAGACCGCCGCAGTTCTCGGGGCGTCCTTCGTCGCCAAGGAGCTCACTGTCTGGGAGACAGATCTGGAGGACTTCACCTGCAAATCTTGGAAGCAAGTTGCCACCTTCAAGCTGGAAGGCAAGAAGCCCGTTTCCTTCTGGCGACTGTTCCGGCGTGTCTCAGATTGTCTCAGCCCCTTAGGCTTAGGCCAATTTAGGGGTCACCAGCTGATCCTGATCAGGTCGGCCCAGCTCTGTTTCCCATTGTCATGGTTGTACTTTTTGCACTTATGGCGGGGCAAGGCTTTGCAGCTTTTGCCGCGCCTGAGTTCCTGCGGATCGGTGTCGGCACAGTGCTCAGCATCGGGGGCAGCATCGTCGTCGACCGTGCATCCGGTTTCTTCTTGGCAGCGTCTGTTTTCACTTCTGAACTCAGTCCAAACATATCTAAACTTAGTGACGTAGTCCTAGGTCGCAGCTCTTGATTTCTCGAGTAATGAGGCGTGTGCGCATGACATGCAGCTGTGCTCTGGCAAGCATGTCGGGAAGACCAATGCGGAGCTTTTTGGGATCGTGGGCCAGGGCCTGCTCCTCTGGGGTCTTGTGAATCAGTTGTTCGACTGGTCCCGCTGGTTGATGGAGAGCGCAGGAGACAAGATAGGATGTCGACTGCGTGGACAGCTCTTCGAGCGCCTCATCCAACAAGACGTCAAATGGATCTCACAGAAAGGTGCAGACGAGCTCTACAAAACACTGATGCAGAGAACGGACAATGTGCAGCGTGTCTTCACACGGGAGATTCCGGAAATACTTACTATGGTGTCGAACCTTATTACAAACATTGGATTCCTGTGGCTGCGAAAGCCCAGGCTTTGTGCTTTTGGCTTTGGAATATTCGCTTTTCAGAACATGGGATTTGGCATCTTTGATGCCATGCAGCAGGTGGCGCAGGACCATGATTCAGTGACCGAAGACATCAAGGAGAATGCCCTGGAAGTGCTGCAGAACTTTCGCATTGTAAGGGCATTTGGGCGTGAGGGCCGAGAGAAGCAGGCCTTTCTCAAAAGCATCCGTCAGAAGCTGATGGTCAAGATCAGCAACTATGTCGGCTTTGTGACGGAGCTTGGGTCTTGGCTCACAGGTGAGTTTGCCTTTCAGGTCGCCTACATGTATGGTGGAACCCTGGTGAACCTGAAGTACATAGGGGCCGACGAAGTCAGAGAGACCGTGAGCAATGTCTTCAAGTCGACCTGGCCCCTGTACCGGCTCAAGCGCCGGCTGCAGACGAAGATGACCTTCACGGAGGATGCGGAGGCCGTGCTCGAGGCCCTCGAGCGGCCGCCGGACATCCCTTTCGAGGACACCTCCAAGCACAACCCCGCGCCCAGTGAGATTAAGGGCCACATCCGGGCCTCGAGCATGTCCTTCTCCTATACGGAGGATGCTGAGGGGGCGGTGCTGAAGGAGTTGGACTTTACCATTCCGGAGGGGTCCATGGTGGGGCTCGTCGGGCCGTCCGGATGCGGGAAGTCGACCCTCTTCAACTTGTTCCTGCGTTTCTACGACCCGCAACTGGGATCCCTGGAGATCGATGGGGTGAGCCTGGCAGAATGGAATCCGCAGGCGCTCTATCGGGCCATTGCCTGGGTGTCGCAGGACCAGTGCGTCTTCAAGGGCTCTGCCTCTTGGCAGACCTCTGGGTGTAGGGGCATGTGCGGCATGTAGCCACAAGAGGGCTGCTTGTGTGCTGGCGCAGTTGCAGAAAAGGCTGCTGAGTAGTGGGTTGGTCTCTGGGCTCCGCGCCCTCCACATCGAAGGTTCTGGAGAACATCCGCTACGGTGTTCCTGATGCGTCCGAGGAGGATGTGCTGAGGGCCATGCGCGAGGCAGACCTTTACGACGACGCTTGGAAGCTTCCAATACCCGAAACAACCCTAAACCCTAAACCCGAAACCCAAAACCCTTTCGAGTCCAAGGGGCGGCCCTCCCCACTCCCCAGGACGTCATGAAGAAGCCGCAAGGTGTGGCCACCCCGGCCTCCGAGCTTTCTGGGGGTCCCTCGGAGTGAGACAGGGATGACGGGGACAAGGGTGAAGACAGAGTGTGTCTCAATTCTGTCTTTTGGGCAACAAGAGAGCTATCGGGATGCGCTTGCTACCAGAAATTTGGGGCAGTGTTGGCTGTTTCGCCCTTCTGATGAACAAAAGCGCTGGCTGGGTTGAGTTGAGAGTTTCAAAAAGCGTCTTGGTCCAGGCCAAAAGCAGAGGCTCTCCATCGCGAGGGCAGTGCTCACTAACCCAAAGCGCCGCGGCTCGTGCTAGCCTTTGGATTCAGGGTTCAGGTTCGAGTGCGTGGTTTAGGGTTTAGGGTTTAGGGTTTAGGGTTTGTGAATATCACCTCGATTCTTGCATGTATAGCTTGAGTGCGTGCCTTTTCATGTGTAGTTCTGAGAGCAGCAGCAGTTTGCATGTTGTACATTTTGTTTGCTGTTGCTGTTACCTCTCGAAGGGCCCTTGAGCTGTGGCAGAAAAGGTAGAGTCCGAAGCGCGAGTGAACGCTAACTGGTAGCGGAGCTGCTCCCCTCATTGTGCAGGGGGTAGTTCCAGCTGGCCTTTGGACTGGTTGTGTTTGAGAGGAGTGTGAGAAGAGAAGTCCTCGAATCGTAAGATCGGGGCAACGTTTTTCCGCAGAACAGCAAAGCAGTTGGTTTGTTCAGTGACTGGATCTGACGAAGGAGTTTGGGCATGACAGTTGCAGGCCTCAGATTCCGAAACAAAGCGTATTCTTCAACGCCCAGTGTCACAAAGAATGGAGTGTTCATTTTCGACGGAAACCCTGCTGACTACCATGAATGGGAGTTCAGAACCGAGCTACGCATTGCGGCGCATGAGCAGCAGGAGAAGCGCCGAAAGAAGAAGGAGAAGAGAGAGAAGAAAGACACTTCGTTTTCGTCAGGCGGTCCTGAGCAAGGAAGAGAGGAGAGAACACCTCAGGCGGAAGCGAGTGCTCCAGCCGAAGGTGGTGTAGCCGGGAGACCGGCAGCTGCGTCAGGGAGACCCACCATTCCTGTCCCTGACTCGCCAGCGGCCAGTGTGGTTGCGCACGAGAGCAGCTCAGACGGGGATGATGGGGCTGTGGACACTGTTCTTCGCGTCATGGAGGGTCTCAGAGGAGACGCCTTCCAGAAGGCTAAGGACATTGGAATCGCGACCCTGTCAGGACCCGGTGGGCTAAGGACCCTGATCTCCGAGATCAAGGCAATGGTCTTCCCGCTAGGAACTTTGGAGGCCCAGGCCTTGTTTCGCAGTGGGCAAGCCATTCGAGGTCCTTTGAGTCGTCAGGACGGGGAATCAGTTGTTTCCTATATAGGAAGGAGACGCAGATGGTGGACCTTGATGACGCAGCTCGATCCGAGGATATCTCTGTCGGATAGTTTGAGAGCAGAATTGTTGCTCGAGTTGAGCGGGTTGTCACGTGATCAGCAGTTGATGGTGAAGGCTTGTTCAGGCGGTGCCCATGATTTTGAGACATACGCAAAGATCATGACCGAGCATCATGGGTTGATTCACTTGCGGGGGAACAAACTACTTGATTCAACACCCCTTCGAAGCCCTGGTTTCGATAGAGATACCCGCAGATGGCAGTCGAAGGGATCAGGCAAGTTTGGGAGCCGTTCACCAGGGTCAGTGACAACCGCTTATGTGAGTGATGTCATTGATTCAGCCTATGTATCGCAAGAACATAGGGCAGATGATCATTATGCTGATGAGTGGTACCAAGATGAGGCACAGGAAGATGCCGAAGATGTGGGGTGGAACGCTTGGACTGATCAGCCAGGTGGTTCACCAGGATATGCTCCTTCCGAGGAGGACGTGATCGTTTCCGACAGCGAGGTTGCCGTCGCCTTGAATGCGATGGAGGACTGCGACTACGAGAGCTTTCCCGAGGCCACGGGCGAAGCGATTCAGTTGCAGTGTGCGGCTCATGTTGCATTGGGCAAGGCAGGTAAGGGTAAAGGATCATCCGGTGGCAAGGGAAAAGGATTTCCGGTAGTGCGCAGTCGCTTGCAATTGTCAGTTGAAGAGAGGAAAGAGAAGCTCAGGGAACTCAAGGCTAAGAGCCGTTGCCTGCGATGTGGGCAAACAGGACATTGGAGCGGGGATCCTCAATGCCCCAAAGGTCGATCTTCACAGTCCGGTTCGGATGGCAAGGGCAAGTCCAAGGGAGATTCCAAGGGATCGAAGTCGGGAACAAAGCAAGCTTTCATGGCAGTTCCAGTGACTAGTGAGAGCGAGGATGACATGGAGTGTGTGTACATTGACAGTGGCCCCTCAGAAGGTAGCCCTAAAGCGTACATGGCCTATCGCAGGGAAGGCGCTCGAGCTTCAAGGACAGCCAGGAATGCCGCTCGAGACACGATGCCTCCCGGTGGGGACCGTGTCTTCACTGTTGGCCAGCATCGTGGGCTTAGTTTCGAGGAGGTTCTTCATCGCTACACTGCATATGTCATCTGGGGACGTTCCTTGAAATCGGCGGGATCTCGGGATTTGGCGGCATTTCTGAATTGGGTTCAGAATTACTACATCGTGAATGAGGAAAGCATGGAGGTAATGAGGCGAGACATCCCTCTAGATGAGGTGCCGCAAATGCCTGGAGCGCAAGCCCAGCAGAGTGTTGCGGTGCCAGCAGCATCCTCCCATGTGACAGCCAAAAGCAAGCCCCCAAATCCCCCTTTGCCTGTGAGTTGTCAGACATGCACCAACTTTTCGTACGTGGGGACAAATGCCTACGTGACAGTGAAGACCTGCAGGGTGTGTGGAAAGGTGTTTAAGGAGAAGAAGACCTTCGAGAAGAAGGACCCCACATTGTGCAGGCATGCAAACACCAGTAGACTGGGCTCGAACAAGGCCATCATGAAGACTTTCTGTAAGGATTGTGGTCATGTGATAGATGAAATGCCCCAAGCAGAAGCCCGAATCAGGCGTCAGGCTGCGCAGGAACTTGAGACTGCGACTTCGGCTTCGTTTGATCTCATCTCGAACATCTCTAGGAATGTGCTCGATGAGGCAAGCCTGGATGCAACGCAGACCATGACATTGTTGGATGAGTTCAGGTCCCAAGTTGAAGATTGTCTAGTGGCCCAGAATGTCGAGGGTATTGACGACCCAAGGATTTCCCCGAAGGACTTACATGAGATCCTCAATGATATCGTGGAAGCAGCAGTGGTATCTCAGGAATCTCCGTCATCCGTCAGAGCGTCGCCTGGCGAGATGTCGAGAGCTGCACCGCAACGGGCAGCTGGCTCCGGATCGCAAGACCGGAGAAGGACAGATGGGGAAAGCGCAGCGTACATGTCCATGAAGACCAACTCCCTATCCTCGGTGGTTCCGTTGACCCTTGCGGAAGTGGATATTTACGATCATGAGGATATTTGGGGTGTCTTGGATGATGGTGCGAATAGCTCAGTTTGCGGGGAGAGATGGTGTGACAACGCCCAGATGAAACTGGCCAAACTGGGTTTCGAATTCCCCTGGTTGAGCCAAGAAGGCATTCAGTTCAGAGGACTTGGTGGGATGACTAAGACCTTGGGCGATCGACGTCTGTGCTTCTGCATTCAATGCGAGTATCAGGGTGAGAAGGAGGATGGTAAGGACCCGCTAGTCCCCGGTATCCTTGATTGCCACGTGACCTCTGGGAGCGAAACGCCCCTACTTCTATCCTTATTCGCGCAGAGCACCCTGGGTTTGTTGAAGGACATGAAGTCGTTCACCTGCTTGATACAGAGGAACAATGGAGAACTGTGGAGGTTGCCCCTGTTCAGGGTTAAAGGGAGCAATTTGCTTGCAGTGAACCTCTCCTCCGGTATCCGCCTTCTGGATCGAATACCTCGTCCGCTTCGACCTTACAGAGCGCCGTTGGAGAGGAAGATTCGTAAGGGTGAAGGGCACGAAGGTTTGACATCCAAGGACTTAGATCCCCAGAAGCAGAACACAGATTCCCAGAAGCAGGACACAGATTCCCAGAAGCAGAACACAGATTCCCAGAAGCAGAACACAGATTCCCAGAAGCAGGACACAGATTCCCAGAAGCAGAACACAGATTCCCAGAAGCAGGACACAGATTCCCAGAAGCAGGACACAGATCCCCAGAAGCATCCCGATGAGCGTAAGCAGCATCCTCAAAGGATTAAGGACAAAGGCGCACACACCTCAGTCACAGATTCGGGTGGAAACCACCAGGGTAACATTCAGGCCAACGTGGCAAGCAGTGATCCTCGGTCTAGCAAGCAGATGCCGAGTGTCCACATTGTCTCTACGGGGACTCGATGGCGCCGCGAGGCCTCATCTTATATCTACAGCCCTGGGCAGGAGTCTGCGAAGGCATTGGCCGAGGCCCTGCACGGGCCCTTGACTGGGAGCACTGCGATCTTGATCTGCAATTGTCTGGATTTTTCTAACCCCGAGATTCAGTCGGGTTCGTTGTCCTGGCTGAAGGGGCATATTGGCTCGCACCCTGGAAACCTGACCAATCAATGGGAGAATCCTGAGTTCAGAGACATGATCTTCTACGTGCACCAGGCTGTTCGCGAGGCACCCGCGTCTTTGGAGCAGATTATCTGCATTTGCATTTGCACCCAGGGCCGACACAGGTCTGTGGCGAGCAGCGTAACTTTGGCACAGGCGCTCTCTGGAAAGTTCCGCACAACGATCAGCCACGACGGAATGTGCAACGGCTCTTGGGACAGTATGGCGGGCAGATGCCGCGGATCCTGCGGGACATGCGACCACAGCGCGCACGAAGCTCAGCTGGCGGTAGTTGAGCACATGGAGAGAGTAGAGGAGTACCTCTCCTGGAAGGGTCGCATCGACGCTCCGTCTTGCATCCGCCATTTTGAGATCGCCGCGCGACCGTCGCTTGGAGCCGGCCCGAAGAGCAAGCCGATGCCTAGGCCAGGAGCGGGACGCCCTAGGCCATCTGCGAGTTCTGCCGCTGGGACGGTCGATTTGACCGAGGCCGAGGAGGAGCCCAGTTCCAGCCGCAGGCCAGCGCGCAGATTTTCTTTGGAGACCCGTGATGAGCGTGGCGTATCTGTTTTGGAGGCCCAGAATAAGGCGCTGATGCAACGAGTCGAGTCTCTGGGTCGCGAGGTTGGCACTCTGAGGAACGAGCTGCGCCGTCGCTCGAGGTCGAGGAGGCGATCGCGGAGCAGGAGACGCTCTAGGTCCAGAGGCCGGGACAGGCGGACCAGATCGAGATCCCCGATTGCACGGGCAGAGGAGCGGGCGCCCTCTAGGCATACTT